CTTCCTTCCTTCCTTCCTTCCTTCCTTCCTTCCTTCCTTCCTTCCTAAAATGTATAAGGCTGCCCACCCATTCTCAGTGACTCTGGGTGCTTACCAACAACAAATCTTTCTGAAATGTCCCTTTAAGATGCTCAGTGCAACTCTTCTCAGATATGTTGCAGCAATAATTTGATATAAAGGAGGCAATCCCAGCCCTTCTTTCCAAGGTCTGACCTTCGGTTAATTGATCTGGCTGGCTAAATAATGTTCCCAAAGAATAAACAGAGAGTGAAATACTAGGAACTCTGATGGGGTTATTTGATCTTTCTGTTTGCAAATTAAACAAATGATGGAATGCTGTTTTTTTTTACACTGTTTTTCCATCTTGTGAACTCTTCAAGCTTAAGAGGAAGAGAGCTGGTGTGGCTGAAAAGGAAACAGTTTGCAGAGCAAAGAAGGAGAATGTTTTTTAAGGGAATTGTACATTAATCCTATTGGCAGCATATTTAAAGGGAGGGGTAAATAGATGATAGATAGATAGATAGATAGATAGATAGATAGATAGATAGATAGATAGATAGATAGATAGAAAGAGATAGATAGATAGATAGATAGATAGATAGATAGATAGATAGATAGATAGATAGATAGATAGATGAGTGTGAGAGGGATGAGTGTGAGAGAGAAAGATAGAGAGATGGGGAGATAGAGATGATGGATAGATATGCAGACAGAGACAGAAGATAGAGAAAGAAATGAGAGAAGAATAGAAATACAGAAGATAGATTGATAGATATTATTATAGATATAGGCCATGCAACACATGAATCGGGAAGAGTTTCAAAAGAAAATGGCAACCAATTCAAACACTTAACACAATTTCTAGGATAATTTGTATTGTAGTTCTAAGTGTGTGTGTGCACCTAGACTCAAAGCAAGAAAGTCATTTTCCAAAACACAGAAAGGAATGCAGCACTTGTATGTTTGGCAGAAGCCCATTGGCCACCAATAATGTGAGAAAGAGTGAGGCAATAAAATAGAAACTCCCTAAACGTTTTTTCCAGGGAATGAGTCTTGTAGCTGAAAGCACTTTTAATAATAGCTGCGCATCTGGGCTAGGCTGGAAGTGAACACCCAGAAATAAAACTTTGAAATTCTGCACAACAGATGAGTAACCATTTATGCAACAGGTGAGAGAAAGACGTTATGGAAAGAATCAGATCAGTCCTGAAGCTTCAGGTATCGACAGGCAATGCTTGATTTACAACCATTTGTTTAGTGACCATTCTAAGTTGCAATGACACAGAAAAAAGAGACTTATGTTTTTCACACTTACAACTGTTGCAGCACCTCTGTGGTCACGTGATCAAAATCCAGCTGCTTGGCAACTGGCACGTACTTATGACATTGTTGTGTCCTGGGGTCACATGATCCCCATTGGCTACTTCCTGACGAGCAAAGTCAATGGGGGAAGCCAGATTCGCTTAACAACCGTGTAACTGCAGTGGTTCGCTCAACCATGTTGGCAGGAAAGGTGTTAAAATGGAGCAAAATTCACTTAATAACTGTCTGGTTGAGCAACAGAAAGTTTGGGATTAATTCTGGTCGTAAGCTGAGGACTTCAAATCTCCGACAAGCATTGTTCTTTGGCTGAACAGCATCTGTACCCTGGTCAACTCCCTGGATCCAATTCAACAGGTGGAGACTTTGGGAAACTGGCTTCCTCGCAGGTAATCCAGCCCCAAACCATGTTAGGGCTTTCAAGGTGGAAACCAGGGTCTTGAACTGCACCCGGAAAGATTTCAGTAGCCAATTTTGCTCACACAATAACAGGTAGTCCTCGACTTACAACCACAATTGAGCTCATTGTTTCTGTTCCTAAGCAAGACGGTTGTTAAGTGAATTTTGCTTCGTTTTACAACTTTTCCTGCCAGAGGTGTGAAGTGAATCACCATAGTGAAGATAGTAACATGGTCGTTAAGCGAACCTGGCTTCCCCCCCATTGACTTTGCTTGTCAGAAAGTTGCAAAAGAGGGTTACAGGACCCCCGGGTCACTGAGACCGTCGTAAATATGAACTGGTGGCCAAGCGTCCAAATTTTGATCATGTGACCAGAGGGGTGCTGAAATGTCATAAATTTGAAAAAGATGGCCATAAGCCAGTTTCTTTCAGTGTTGTTGTAACTGGTCACTAAATGAATGGTTGCAAGTCGAGGACTTCCTTGCAGCGGTGTTATATTTGGCGCCATTTTCTCCACGTGCGGTAGTAATCCCAATTTACTCACAAGAAATAATCCCGTTTCATCCCAAGACACTTTCAGAATTTTAGAAGTGAAAGACCTCATAAAATCATTGGGTTAGAAGGGACCTTGGCGGTCATCTAGCCCAACCGCTCCTGCCTGAGGCAGGAGATCTTGTACCATCCTGGTCAAAAGGTTGTCCAGTTTATTTCTGGAAGCCTCCCCGTAACGTTGGGTTCTCTTTCTTCAGGGGCCGTTTCAGCATCATCAAACAATGCCGAGAAAAATTCAGCGGAAATCCCTTGGCTGCCAAAATCATCCCGTATCAGGCGGAAGAGAAAGACCACATCCTACAGGAATACCAGATCCTAAGGAAACTGCACCACACCAACATAGGGCAGCTGCAGGGGGCCTACGTGAGTCCACGCCACCTTGTGCTAATTGTCGAACTCTGCGTGGGGCCCGAGTTGCTTCATGCCTTAGCTGGGAGGTAAGTAGGAATGTTTCTTTCTAGTTGACCAACTACAGGTGGTCCTCAATTTACGAACATTCATTTAACAACCTTTTGAAAAAGGTGGGGGGAACGGACTTTGGACAGTCCTTGCACTTATGACCATCGCGACATTCCTGATCAAAATCAGAATGCTTGGCAACCGGCATGGAATTACAATAATTATCATCATTTGTGACCTTTGCAGTTGGCTTGAACCAGCAAAGTTAATGGGGGGAGGCTGATTCACTTAATGACCGTGTGATTCACTTAACGACCATGTGATTCACTTAACGACCATGTGATTCACTTAACAACTGTAGGGATTCACTTTACAACCATGGCTAAAAAGGCAAAATAAATCGGGACCAGCTCCTTCAAAGGGTTATTATGACCGCAATAGGGACCAGGAACTGTTGCTTTGCTTAGCAAAAGAGAAATCCTGTTCCCTAGTGTGGTCGTAAGTCAAGGACCACCAGTACCCTGAGGATCCTACACACCATAGTTCTGGATGAATTACAACCATTTGTTCAGTGACCCTTCAAAGTTACAACAGCACTGAAAAAAGTGACTTGTGACCGTTTTCCACACTTACAACAGTTGCAGCCCCACCCCCGGTCACATGCTCACAATTCAGAGGCTTGGCAACTGGCATGTGCTTATGACAGTTGCAGTGTCCCAGGGTCACATGATCCCCTTTTCCGATCTTCTGACAATCGAATTCATTGGGGAAGCTGGATCTGTTTAACCACCCTGCTATTCACTTAATAACTGCTGTGATTCACTCAAGATCTGTGGCAAGAAAGGTTGTAAAATGGGGCCAGACTCACTTAATGACTGTCTCACTTAGCAGTTGAAATGTTGGGCTGATTCTGACTGCCTGCACCCAACCGTATCCATGGAGGCTGGTTTTCTTGACATCGCTGGACTGAGTCGAACTTTTTGGGGAATCCCTGACCCACGTTTGTGTTTTTACCGTCTTCTCTTTTCCCAGGTCTTCGTATTCAGAGGTGCAGGTCAGGGATTACCTGTGGCAGATTCTCAGTGCCGTCGAGTATCTTCACAATCAGGACATCGTGCATCTGGATCTGCGGTCTGAAAACATGGTGATTGTGGAGCCCAACCTGTTGAAACTGCTGGACTTCGGCAACGCCCGGTTCTACACCCCAGATCAAATCATAACCGTGGATGGATGCACGGACTATGTAGAAACCATGGGTGAGTGAGCCAGGAATTCCGAGCTGTGGGAATTTGGCACCATGGATAAAAGAAAATAGGGTATTCTTCAGTTCCTCTTGCTCAGAGCTGGCCAGAACTTTTCCCGATAAGGAAAAATGGTTGTTAAAAACTAAGGCCTCCTGACCTCTAGATCTCCTGCTATCTGGGATCTTCAGTGGAAGGTGGCAATTTTTGGACTTGTAGCTTTTTGCCGCACCTGGCCTGTTCAGCTGTAGAACTGGTTTCATATTTACAGAAGATGCACATACACATTTACATAGATAGATGACAGAAAGAGCAGATAGATAAATGGATGGAGGGATGGAGACAGACAGACAGACAGATATAAAAGAGAATATTTATGGAGCAGGACTGAGCTGCGGGGTCCTTGATGTTCTCTGAGCTTGATGGTTTCCTTGCAGATGTTTCACGACCCTACTAGGGAACACCATCAGTGCCAAAAGTGAGGGGGGAAGAGTTGTTCCCTTTTTCTCCTTTACTAGAGGTTTCCCCTGGCAGTGTTGGAGCGCGTGTTCTTGGTGGTTCCCTGTTTTGGCTGTTCTTTATTTTTTGACCGTCTGTCTGAGAAACAATTAAACAGTAAACAATAGCCTAATCAGGGAATTACCAAGAAGAAATAAATATAAATAGCAAGCCGCACTCATAGCACTGATGGCGTTACCTACTTGGTAATGAAAGGTCTGCAAGAATTCTACCAAGCTCAGAGAGCACTAAGAAATCTACATTTATATATACACAAACACACACATACAGACAGACAGAGAGAGAGGGAGGGAGGGAAGGAGATCCTCTTTGAGGTAGACGGGCAATTCAGAAACGTGGAAAACAAGCAAACAAAACCAATTTATAGGTCAGATTTTTGCAGAAAATTTAATTCTGCAAATCTCTCTGGATCCGAAGCACCTGGATCTTAGGGCGGGACACTTTCCTAACACACGTGTGTATTTTTAGCTTCAGAACTCCTATCGGAGAAGGGAGCCGTTCCACAGACAGACATCTGGGCGATTGGCGTGACAGCTTTTATCATGTAAGTGGACCTCAGCTTCTGTTGACAGAGTCACAGCGCCTTCAAAGTAGAAGCCCTCTGCTCCAATCTTCTGCAGAGGACAGGATGCCTCCTATCGTTAGGTGGGATGTACCGTGGGTGTGAGTACAGAAGGCAAGTTTCACTTAGTGCTTAAGGCACCAGGCTAGAAAGCAAGAGAACGTGGATTCGAGTCCGTGAAAGCCGGCTGGGTGACCTAGGGATAAACTCAAGGGGAGTTCTAGTCTTGCCTTAGGCGTGAAAGCAGGCTGGGAGACTTTGAGCCAGTTCACCAAAGAATTCTAGTCCCACCTTAGACCTTGAGCCAATCCCCAGGAGGTAGTGAATTCTAGTTCTGCCATGAAAGCTGGCCGGGTGATTTTGGGCCAATCACCAGGGGACCGTGACACCTCAGATATGAAACCAACTGTGTGACCTTGAGCTAGCCGCTTTCTTTCGACTCTAGGAAGCAGGCAATGGCAAATAACTTACGAAAAAAATCTTGCCCAGAAAACTGTAGCGATTAGTCCAGGAGTCCAAAATTAACCAGAAGTCTCTCCCCCAACCCCACAGCCTCTCTCTCTCTCCCTCCCCCCCCCCCCCCCCACTCTTTCTCACACACACACAAAATCAGTTTTCAAGTGGCCGCCCTCCACGGAGGTCCCAAATCCAGCAGAACTGCCCAGGCTCGAGTTATAAAAGGCAGATCTGTCTGATCTGTGTCCTGTCATCTTTACAGAGAACCTGCAAAGCTTTTTTTATGTACAAACCAGTGTCTTTCCCCCAAATCTCTAGTGGGATAGTAGAGCGGAGAAGTTGCTGTGAATAAGAGGGTAGAGACCAAGGTTCTATCTTGCGCCAGCCAAAGACGCTTCTGGGTGGATTTGGGGACATTCCCCCTTCTCTCGGCCTGATTATCTGGTGGGGGGAGGTCTTCAAATAGGAATGGGGGACTTGCAGGTTCCAGTTCCTAACCCCCCCACTCCTTTAACCTCAAACTATCCACTATTGACCTCACCCCATTCCTAAGAGGTCTGTAAGGGGCGTGCATAAGTGCACCATCGTGCCTCCCGTCCCTGTCCTCTTGTCCCCAATGATTCGCACCTATTTCCTGTGTTCTTACTCGTGTTTATGCTTATATCTATTAGCTTGTAAGCGATTGACAAATCCAATCCAATCAATCAACCAATCAATTAAAACCTTAAGGTCCGTTTGGGTGACTTGGGGTTGCCACTTCCGGGGCTTTTATAAGGGGGGAAAATAGGACTAGAGAATGCCACACAACATGGGCGTCTCATGTGTCTGTAAAAAGCAGGCTACAAATTCGTGAATAAATAAATTAACCCACAACGTTAGGCAAAAGCAGGCAGAGGCAGAAGAAACTCATAATTAGGATGCCTCTGTTCTCCTTACCAATTTGATTTTTGAAATATCCTTATCTGGAGAAATGGAACTGCGTGGGCAAGACTTTTAATTAAGTATTATCATCAAAGCCTTCATAGCGATCCTTTCTGAAAAGAGGCAGTGAATGCCGCTCTATTTTATTTTTTTTTAATCTTATTTTTTTTTTAATTTTGCTTTGCTTTTCTTTCATTTCACTTTATTATTTGTACCTCACTGTTATTTTTACAAATAACCCTAGCAGCAATGAACGTATCCAATACACTTTTCTCCTCCTACTTTCCCCCACAATAACCCTGTGAGGTAGGTTGGCCTGAGAGGGAGGGATTGGAAAGTCACCCAGCTGGCTTACATGCCCTAAGGCGGGACTAGAACTCATCGCTTCCTGGCGATTAAACCAAAGTCACCCAGACAACTTTCATGCCCGAAGCAGGACTAGAACTCTTCATCTCCCAGTGATTGGCCCAAAAGTGCCAAACTGCTTTTCGTGCCTAAGGTGGGACTAGAAGTCCTTTTCTCCCAGTTTCTAGTCTGATATCTTCACGACGGTCTTTCTTGTAAGAAAGGTTTTGAGGCAGAATCAGGCCCAGTTCCATTTTCAGGGCCACCCAGAGGCCACCCAGATGCTTCCCAAGAAGTCCCGCATACCAGATCAAATTCACGCCAGATGAATTTGCTTCATCAGGGAGTAGGCAGAGAGTAAGACCCCCGAGTAATAAAAGAGGACAAGTTGTTAGTAGGTCATGGTTCTGCTTTATTCATTTGGATCTCAAGTGGGCTGAGGGTTTACTAACTCTGTGCTTTGTGAGTGCTGATGTTGCTGGCAGATCAAATACAGGTAGTCCTCCACTTACGACCACAATGGAGCCCAAAACTTCTGCTGCTAAGTGAGAAATCTGCTACGTGAATGTCGCCCCACCTTACGACCTTTCTTGCCACAGTTGTAAAGTGAATCACTGCAGTTGTTAAGTTAGTAACACAGCTGTTAAGTGAATCTGGTTTCCCCGTTGACTTTGCTTCTCAGAAAGTCGCAAAAGATGATCGCGTGACCCTGGGACACTGCGACCATCATAAGTATGATCCAGCTGCTGAGCATGTGAATTTTTTATCACATGATTATGGGGAGGCTACAAAGGTCGTAACTGTGAAAAATTATCATAAGTCACATTTTTTTGTGTGCTGTTGTAACTTTGAATGGTTACTAAATGAACTGTTGTAACTCGAGGACTACCTGTATGAACTGAAAAGTGAGCTAACGTTAGAGGCAAAGAAGGTAAGGAGCCAAGAAGGACAACAGGACAAAGATAATTGGTGAAAGACATGAAGAAATCAAATCCAATCGACCTGTGGTCAGAGTACAACATGCGTACAGTGAGATTGGCTGAGCCTCCCTTTGTGCACCCCACCCCCTAACACAACTCACAGTGAGGACCGAGGTCTCTAACCCAGACCTAACCTTACTACACTGTGTGACCTTGTTGCACAAAGCACCAGCCCCGCAAGTCTATCATACTATGTTGACACGAAGAAATTTCGCATTCAGGAGTCTTAACAGTCCACGGGTAGAAACTGTTTTTGCAGCCTGACTTCTCTATCTCCTGCCCGATGGTAGGAGAGTGAAGAAGTGCTGATCAGAGTGCGAGTCCTCCCTGAGGAGCTTCCTCACTCTCCCAAGGCAGTGAGCCACAGCAAGGTCATCTAGAGGTATCAGGGAACAGCACACGAGGTTTTATGCTGTGCTCACCAGCCACCCTAATGTCTTTCTACCCGTAGCTGTCAAGCCAGCATACCACCACCGTCATGCAGTATGTGAGGACGCTTTCTAGTGTGTACCTGTAAAAAGGAGGCCATCCGTTGCTCTTCCACTTTGTTCTTTTGCAAGACCCTCAGGAAATGGAGTCTCTGTTGGGCCTTTCTGCCACCTGGGTTGTGTTGATTTTCCAGCCCCCGTCTCGATGTAAAGTGGGGCGGGGTTCCTCCCTCTTCTTCCAGAGGTCTAGCACCATCTCCTTTGCCCTGCTGATGATGTTCAGGTGCACTGTGAGGATAATGGTGGAACCTCCCCCCTGTGCACCGTTTCCCCTCCCTCCACCTGTAATGAGACCCCATACGGTGGTATCGTTTGCGAACAGACGAGCTGGCAGGAGATCCCATCAAATCAACCTTGAAGAGCCTCTTAAGGAGATTTTCAACCATCCCAGGTCATGGTTATTTATTTATTTGGTTTGTCAATGGCTTACAATAGGTATAAGTAAAAACATAGTCATGAATACATGGGTACATATAAAGAAAAGGAGTGGAGAACTCTTCTTGTGAAATATTTCTGGACTTTCTCAATTGTGTTAATATCAGATACGTAATGTGGGTTCCAGACTGATGAGCTGTATTCGAGTATCGGTCTAGCAAATGTTTTGTATGCTCTAATTACTAGTGTGATATTACCAGAGAAAAAGCTATGTAGGATTAGGTTAACGACTCTTAATGCCTTTTTGGCTATGTAGTTGCAGTGGGCTCTAGCACTTAGGTCATTGGAGATGAGTCCTCCAAGAAGTAATCCAAGAAGCTTCTTCAGTGGAGATTTGAGGAAACCAAAGAACTGAAGATGCTTCTTGGATAAGAAGCGAAACGTTTTCCAGAACCAAGGAACTCCAGTTGCCTTTTGGAAAAAACAGCTGTGGAACAACCTGCGAAGAGTTTCGGACAGCTGGCAAAAAAAACACCAGAGCTGGACTTCAGAGGAAGAGTTGGGCATAGAAGGCCAAAGTGAGACCTCCACTAGGCCCCAAAATACTCTATAGGTAGTCCTCAACTCATAGCCACAATTGTGCCCAAAATTTATGTTGCTGAGTGAGACATTTGTTGCGTGAGTTTTGTCCCATTTGGGTAAGTTTTCTTGGCACAGTTGAATTGTTGCAGTTGTTAAGTTAGTAACGTGGTTGTTAAGTGAATCCGCTTTCCCCGTTGATTTTCCTTGTCAGAAGGTCACAAAAGGGGATCACGTGACTCCGGGACACAGCAACTGTCATAAATACAAGCCAGTTGCCAAGCATCCAAATTTTGACCATGTGACCGTGGGGAGGTTGCAGAAGCCGGGTGAAAAAAACAGCTATAAGTCCCCTTTTTTCAGTGCTGTTGTGATTGTGAACGTTCACTAAACAAACTGTTATAAGCCAAGTTAGGCCTGAGACTGTCTCCACTTACCCTTTAACGTCCTGACTGTCCCTCTCAAACCAGAAGCGGATGAGAAGTGTGTGATTTTGTTACACTTCAGGTGAAATCAGATGACCAGGGGTGTGTAGGATCATCACGGTCTCCGTTGGGGATTTCAGGATGATGTGGGCACCTACAAGGCCTTGAACTGCTGTCAATCCGGGCTGTGGTTTTTGCTAACACCTTCCTGTGAGGCAGTCCCCATTTCCCTTACCCTTTGGGATAGGAGGGGAGAGAATTTGGGTTGAATGTCCCAAGTCAAACATGAGAGAGATAAGACCTAAAACAAATACGCCGTTATGAATGCAAGGTCAACCATAGGAAGTGACAGTGGAGAAGGCTGGGGTTGAGGTTGAGTTTTTTCCTTGCAGACGTTTCATAACCCACCCAGGTGACATCATTAGTGTGAGAAGGGACTGTCCGCAAGGAAATAACCAAGTTCAGACAGCACTGAGGACGACTCCATAGAAAGAGAAACCCAGATAAGCAGGGATTAACCCCAGAGAAACCACTAAGCAGAAAACAATACCCCAATCAAGGAATTACCAAGGCAAAAAACCTCACAAACTACCAACAGTAGCAGGACAAGCAACTCTATATAAAAAGGGAGCAGACTCACACTCCCTCAAACTTGATTATATTACCTATTTGGGCCATGAGATGTCTTTCCCACACCCTTCTAGCACTGACCATGTTACCTTGTAAAGGTCATAAAATATCTCACCAGGGAGCCCACAGTCTTCCTCCTCCTCTTCTTCCTCCTTCCTCCTCCTCCCCCTCTCCCCTCCTCCTCTCTGCAACCTCCCCTTTCTTCAACCACCGATGATGTTGCATTGTTGGATCATGAAATGACTGCGAGAAAATAGCCAAGCTCAGAGAGCACCAGGGAGCCCACGTTTGAATTCCGAGCTACAAAAATCCTGTGTTCTATTGGCCAAAACAGAACTTTTCCTTCCTCTCCTCTTTCCAGGCTGAGTGCCGAATATCCCATCAGCTCCGAGGGTGCCTGTGACTTCGGAAGGCTGGTCAAGCGAGACAAAATACGACTCAACAAATGTTACGCTGGCCTTTCGGGGGGAGCCATCAACTTTCTCCAAAGCACGCTTTCCTTGAATCCATGGTGAGAAGATCTGTTTGCGCCTCAAGGGTTGCTCTTTCACACGTTGCAGATATTTTTTTCCTATCCCAGATCATCTCAATTAAGTACAGGGAGTCCTCTATGACCACAATTGAGCCCCGTATGATGGCCTTTCTTGCCACCATTGTTAAGTGAATCTGGTTTCCCCATGTCAGAAGACTGCAAGAGGAGAATCCCCATGGGACATAAGTCAGTTGTCAAGCATCCAAATGTAAATCACATGACCCCGGGGATGCAGCAAGGGTCATAAGCGTGAAAAATAGTCATAAGTCACTTTTTAAAGTGCCTTTGTAATGCTGAACAGTCACTAAATGAACTGTTGTAAGTTGAGCACTACCTAGGAGTAACAATCAAGTGCAATGAGGCCGTAAGAGATTGTTTGGGCTCACAGATAGTTCTCACTTCATGACCATTAGTGAATGTTTGAAGTTCCGACAGATCCCCCCCAAAAAGTACCTGCTATCTGCATTCCTGTCATGGTCGTTAAGTGAATCTCTGCAGTTAATTTAGTCACATGGTTGTTAAGTGGCTATTGACTTTGATGGTCAGAAGGTTGCAAAAGGGGATCACGCGACCCTGGGACATAGCAACCGTCATAAATATGAACCGGTTGCCAAGCATCTGAATTTTGTTCACGTGACCACGGGGATGCCGCAACGGTTGTTAAGTGTGAAAAATGGTCCCCTTTTGTATAATGTGGAACTGTCATTAAATGAATTGAGGACTACCTATTAAGAGTTAGGGTTACTGAAAGCAGTTATTTAAAAGAACCTCCAATATTCGAAGGGCTGCCACAAAGTAGGGGAGGGGCGGGGGGGGCAGGGGGGGGTCAACCTATTCTCCCAAGCACCAAAAAGCATGAAAAGACGTGATGGGGGATGGATGATCCAGGAGAGAAGCAACCCAGAAATAAGGAGGCATCACCGCTGGAACGTCCTGCCTCCAGAAGCTGTGAAGGCTCCAACGCTGGGAGGTTTTGAAGAAGAGGATGGACAGCCATTTGTCTGGAATGGTAGAGGGTCTCCTGCTTGTGCAGGGGGTTGGACTAGAAGACCTCCAAGGTCCCTTCCAAGTCTGTTATTCAATTAAAGGGGGACTCTCTTCTGCTCCCTTCACCAGCTGGGGTGGCTGTGTGAGGTGAAGTCCGAGTTACGTTTAAGGTCTACGATGGAGAACCCCGGTGGTGGGATTCAGCTAATTTAAACCACTGATTCTTCCTAACGACTGAATGGGTGTGGCCATCTCGATGTAACTGACAGCAAGGTGGAGCGGGGCGGGCCTCTTTGCCGGCGCGAGGGGCCTCCGTCCGCTGCCTCTTTGCCAACCTAAACCAAGGAGGCAGATGCTTCCTCTTTGCCGGCGTGAGGGGCCTCCGGCCACCTTGGCGTGGACCAACAAAGAAGCAGTGGCTACGGGCCACTCACACCGGCAAAGGGGCAAGGAAGGCTTACCAGGCAGGCAGGTAGCTGGGCCGCGTGGGAGGGTGGGGCAAAGACAGGTAAGTGGGCTGGGCCCCGGGGACCACGGGGTCGAGGCTAGCAAGCGAGGGGAACCCAATAGCAAAAGCTGTTATGCCGCCTCCAAGATGGCAAGGCAAGATAAGGGGTGTCTGGGAGGGGCAGAGCAGGCGGGTCATGGTGGGCGGGGCCAGCCAGTGACGCTATTAACCCATTGTCTGAACTGCACAAAAAAAATTAACAACCGGTTCGCTTGAACCTGTCTGAACCGGCTGAATCCCACATCCGGAGAATCCCTTCTGGATAATTCATCTCTGCTTTTTCTTCTCGTAGACCTTGAAAGCTGCTGCTTCTCCTTCTCCTCCTCCTCCTCCCCCTCCTCCTTTTTCCTTCTTTTTGGAAAAAAAGAAAAAGAAAGATGTTGGTTTTTTTCCCGACTTGGTTTCTCTGCTAGGGCTTCAACCTCAACCTTCTGTTTCCTTCCAGGAGAAGGCCAACAGCCACAGAGTGTCTCCAGTCTTCGTGGCTGCAAGAGACCGGCTTGGACGAACACCAGCAAGCCACGGTGACCTTCTCTACCGCCAAGCTGAGAAATTTTGTGGCCGAACGCGAGCGGAAAAGAGCGCTCCTCTGTTCAAAGTACGGCGTGATGGCTGTGTAGCCCACAAAACCTCTTTCACACCATCTCCAAAAAGCAAGCATTTTTATGCAGCGTGTTGGCGAGATCTCGGAAGCCTGCAGGTTAAGGCATTTATTGTGAGTGTGGAAGAGAAGAGGTCCCAGTTACAACAGACGGACGCATTTTATTTATTTTACAGCAATGCTCCGCTCCTGTCTTCAACAATGTGGTATAGTTAACGGATGTGGGAAGGTGAATGTTGGGCCCGAAAGATTATCTGTTTCAAAAGCATTTTAAAGGTGCATGTAACCCACAGAAGGAGCTTATGAAATCTCTGGCTTATTTATTTATTTTGGAAAGAAAAAAAAGGAAGTATTTATGAAGAATCTGATTTTTTTTTAAAGGCTTTAAAAAAAAAAACTGGAGGGGAAGAAGAATCCACACAATATTTCCGTTGTTCGCCATCAGTTGAGCATGCAAATGTCCACGAACTTAATAACCGTTTCACCAAAAACGAGAGATTTAGATTTAATTTTGGTTTTGGTTTTAATTTAATTAAAGGTAGTTCTACTAAAATAAATTTAGTTCAGTTACTTAATTATTTAATTTATTAAAGAATTTATTTAACCCAAATGAAATTAATAAAACTAAATTAATGAAATAACTGTAAATTAGATTGGTTTTATGAATGTTTTATTAATTTTAGTTTTAATAATTATTTAATTATCCTATGTTAGCGTTAAATAATTAATTGAACAGTTTCCTTTCGCTGCCTTTATTTCCCCCCCAATTCGACAAACTCAATACAGAAGCAGATATATATATATATATATATACATACACACACATACATACATAATAAAACTTTGTGTTAAACATCAGAGTAAATTTCATTAACAGTTGGATGAGTTTCAGTGGCTTTACAGCTGTGGCTTTTCACATGTGAACATGCTAGGGTGAGAACACACAACAATACTTGGACAATAAATCATTTTCATGCTGGGAACACCCGTAATCTCAACCCAAATCACAATCACTTTCGGCTTCCTGCAAAAATCTTCCCAAACGCAACACTCCTCCCGAGGTATAAAGAGGTGGCTCATGCCAGCCGGCCATGCTTCATGCAGCCCTTCGGACAATCTACCGCCAGCTGTTCTTTTCAAAGAATTACAGAACTCTTTCAGAAAAAGAAAACATATAAAATCTTTCACAGTCTTATCAGAGAGCGAGTGCAGGGCCTCCACTGTACCCCACTGCTGTGAGGTTTGTTGCTGTCCAAACAAACAAACAAAATTGCTTCTTTTGCAGTGAAAAATGAGCTGTCTGGCTGTTTATCACCATTGGAACCTAGTTTTGCAACCAAGAAAAAGAACTATTTATCTGCCCCAGTAAATAAATACTGTAATCAAAACAAACTTTTGTTGCAGTTGTTCGTTGTAGCTTTTGCTAGTGCTGGTAACTCTTGTTCTTTGTAGTACAGAGAGTCCTCGACTTACAACCAAAATTGAGACCCAAATCTCCATTACTAAGTGAGACAATTGTTGAGTGAATTTTGCCTCATTTTACAATCTCAGTTCTCACCGTTAAGTGAATCATCGCCGTTGTTAAATTAGTCACATGGTTGTTAAGTGAATCTGACTTCTCCATGGACTTCGCTTGTCAGAAGGTTGCAAAGGGGGATCAGGTGACATTGCAACCGTCATAAATAGGAGCCAAGCATCTCAATTTTGATCCTGTGACCATGGAAAAGCTGCAACGGTTGGTGAAGGGCGAAAAAACGGTCATAAGTCCCTTTTTTCAGTGTATCTTCAAATGGTCACTAAAGGAATTGCCGTAAGTCGAGGACTACCTGTATTGAGAACGCCAACAGCAAGATAGTCCAGGTCTTTTGAAGTAGTCGACCGCGTCTCGCATATGACTACCTACCAACATCAAAAAGGTGATTTTTCTTAAGCAGCTGTTACCACAGGTTCACCCGGATTCCTTTTTTTAAAAATAATCTACCTCTCGCTGAGTTTTGAATTTCAAAAGCAGGAGTGGCCCGCACAGAAGGAGGGTTTATAGACACGGAATATGTCACTTGGGCCAGTTAGCAGCCCCAGGAAGTGGGGGGGGGGCGGATGTGAGCAAGGGGGGCGGTCCTTCCCCCATTCCTTCTGCGGTGCCAACAATTGCAGAAAGGCTCAGTCAAATGTGAGGAAGGAAGGAAGGAGGAAGAGACAGAGAGAAAAGAGAGGAAGGAAGGAGAAGGGAGGGAGAGAGAATGGGAGAGAAGTGAGGGAGGGAGGGAAGGAAGAAAAAAGGGGAAAGTGAGAAGAAGAGAGATAGAAGGAAGAGATTTTCAATTCCATGGTACACCTTGACAATAAAAAAATTGATTTGACTTGATTTGGAAAGAAGGAAGGAAGGAAAGAAAGAAAGAAAAAGAATGAAAAAAGAAAAAAAGAGAAACAGAAGGAAAGTGAGAAAAGGAAGGGAGGAAGGAAAGGAAAGAAGGAAGGAAAGAGAAAAAGAAAAAATAA